TAACATAACTCATACATCTTAAGTGACCAAATACATATGAAGATATTGGGTAATAAATTTAAAAACCTTTCACCATTAAATCTAAAATCAAAACAACAGAAGGCAGATATTATTTTATTTTTAAAATGAGGGAAGGGATACTGGGAGAAGAGGAGACCTGTCAGTGTCACACAGCTCACAGGTGGCAGAAATAGGATCTGAACTGAGATTATTTGATGCCCCTTGTGGTGTGCTGTGGCTTAAACAACAGCTACCACAAGAAGAATTTAAGCAAAACCAAACCCCCAAAACATTAATTACTCCAAATGTGCATCTCACTGACTCACTTCATAAAGCAACAGGCTTCAAATTATATAGAAGCCCCTTATTTCATTCCAAGGGTAACATGTCAGAAGTGCTCAAGAACAGAAATATAAGATACAATTCTCTCTTTTCCATCATTGCAGACATGAAATCTGCTCAATTTAACTGAGGAAAGAGGCATTCTGAGAGAATTTCAGGTGGAGGGTTTGAGAAACGATGGTGTATCCCACCTCTTAGTTGCCTCCAAACACAGCTACTCACACCAATTGTTCTTGGTCTGACATTGTGAGAAATAACACTAATTGGTAATACACATCAAGGAAGGGAAGTTATAGACAGAACAACAGCTGTGGATTCAATAGAGGAGGGGAGGTAGGAAAATCATTTAATGAACCCACAGCACAGAACCATCCTAATTTGCAGACTTGAACTGTAGATGAAACTTAGTGTTTATGAGGATCTAAATACAACTGGAATATATACTGTAGGAGATCACTAATGACGATACTTGTGCAAAAGCATGTTGTGTAAAAAAAAAGTGTGTATTGTATTCTACATTAATATCTTTACAAAACTAATACAATTATTTCCAAGCCATTTTATTATAAAAAATTGAGACATGGTTACACCATGTTTTATTGGTCGTGTTTATATGAATTCTGACAATTTACAGATATATGGAGAATTTTCACATCCACCATATCGCTTTTGATTCTCTGGCTTCCCTTTGCTGACAGTAAAATAGTTACCATTTTATGGATAAGGAAGCTGGGTCTTGGAGACTCAGTGCCTTTGTCAAGGCCACACAGACTGCAGGTGATACAGCTGAGATAGGAACCCGTGTCCCCTTCCTATTGCACCCTCCCCTGCAAGAAAAGCATTCAGTTCAACGAGGTTCACCCAAGTTTACTGATTGCGTGTTGTACTTCATTATTTCTGGATTAAGCCTAATCAGCATCTTTCAAAATAAACCTTAATTTAGTTAATAATTACAGCACCACTTGACTAAAATGCGGGTCAGAAAAGTTTGACTTTGTATCCCTTAGGACTTGAGTGAGTCCAAGTCTTGGTGAACCTTCATCCAGGACAAAGAGCAGCAGTAATTTCTGACTGACTCACATAGCTGTAAACTCTAAATGAAACAATCCACCTAGGGCCGGCCCAGTAGCGCACTGCTACAGTGCGCCGCTTGGGAGTGTGGTGGCGCTCTTGCCGAGGGTTGGGATCCCACATACAGACCGGGTCCCGCTCACTGGCTGAGCGAGGTGCGGGAGCACCACCGAGGGTTGCGATCCCGTTGCCAGTCCCGGCCCGGTATGGGCGCGACACTGAGGGTTGCGATCCGTTGCCGGACA